AAGAAAGGTGATTCTTTTGTAATAATTAGTAAGTACTAAAGAAAAGAGTATAAAAATTGTTTAACCATTTTTTTTCTATTCAATTTGATCTCACAGGGCTCGTAACACGTAACATGTTAACTTACAACATTACAATTTGTAATTAGTTCAAATGAACGTTCTATATGAATAATTCTCCACTATTGCTCATAGATCAAAGACTGATTATATACTGCAATTATGAACTATATAGTATTCATCAAATACTATTAATTTGCCTTTTCGGTATAATCATCTTGAAGAAAGATCCATGATCATGATGACGCGATCTAGATGGTATTATAGGATAATGTAATTTTAAATTTGCCATTACGATTGACTAGAGATCTGCTCTCTGAATATTACGGGATTATTGATTTGAAATTTACTTCTCCTTCAACTATCTCTCATTAGTCCAATTGAGTACATATCAATTGTATGTCTTTATATATCACACGAGATTCAACACAATGTAATCACAGGCTATCATTTAAACAAATCATAAATAACATTATTCTCTACATTGATTTGGAACTTTTTTAAAGTCATTTTGCAAGAATAAATATGTATTGAATCATAATCATTAATACTCATCAAATAATGTTTCAACTTGAATGGAAGTAAAAACGTAAAAATTCATAATTAATTAATTGATAAATATAATGATCTTTGAATTGCAACTGGTTTGAGTGAAGTGAAACACATCATAGTCTCTTTGAATTATATTGGACAACTTATTTGTAATTTGTAAATACCAGTGACCCAAAAAAATCAAAAAAAATCAAATTATATTTAGTTGCAAAATGGAAAGGGATCATCCGTCATAATAGAACGAACGTTCAGCCAAGTTAAACAAATATTGACAGCAAGCACAAAGCACATGTTAACAAAAATTATAAAATTGTAGTCTAAAATTTTGAACGAAACTATAGTGAAGAAAATACTAGAAATATTTCATTTTTTTCCTCCTGAAATTGTGTGCCTTCACATTTCGCGGGCAAATTATAGTTTAAAGGTATAGTTTATATCAACTTATATACTCTGTGTATAGTAAAGACAAATATGTATTGTTATGATAGTATAATTATGACCATGGAGGTACTATTAGTTGAACCAAAATTTGAGTGAATTTGAGTATATATTTCTTGTCAATAAAGTAATCTAAACTTCTAACTAATCCCTCCAACCTCGATTGATAGGATTTCGATGAGAAGATGCGTATGGGATTATTTTAACAATGTGTACAATCAATTAGTGAATAAAATAAGCGTCTACAAATTGACGCTTGGTACTTATAATTGCTTGTGAAAGTTGCTCAGAAAAAATGTATATTGAATATCTTAATCATTAATACACATCAAGTAATAATTTCAACTTGAATGAAAGTAAAAATGTAAAATATCAAGTAATGTATATCTGATAAATTGTATAAATATCACAAATAATCATTCAAAACTTATATCAAGGAACACGCTATTGAACTAAACAAAAGTGTGAAAATAGATCCCATTCGAATAACAACTTTACCAAACGTTTGCTACCTGATGCTGAATTTTATCACATTTAAAGCCGTCACTGGTAAATTTAAATATTTGGTTGTCCACAAGGGCTGAAGCTATCACCTGAATCTAAAATATATACTTTAGTTTATGTTTATGAAACGAACTTATATTTTTCGATAAAAACTCCACGTTACAAATTGAATTCGCGGTACTTTGAGCAGTTATGTAATTTTTGTATATTTTGAATAGATCAATGAGACTACTAGTTATTTCGTTAGCTATAAGAAGCCATGGAGATTATTTCTTTAAATATACGAAGATGAAAGCTACTTCTACTATTTGAAATATGCATGACCATATCATGATTATTTATTGCAAAAAATGTATATTAAGTTTCAATCCATTAATACTCATCAAATCATGTTTCAACTTGAATGGAAAGTAAAAATGTGAAACCTTCTGTTACGAATGATCTTATAATCTCAAATTATGCTAGTTTCTGTATAAATATAATTGATTATTGATCTATGAATTTTTCTTTATATCTTAACGAAAAACTTGTAGCAAACCGAGAGAAACTTGACTTAACTATATTGCCAAAACAATGTTAACTTCCCTGATAAGATGTTGTAATGCTTTGTAGACGGGTCGAACATTAAAATAAGTAGGCCAACTGGTGATACATATCAGTCAAGCATTTTAAAAATAAAAGAGAATAAGTTCTAGTAAATTTTTTTGATACTCGAACTATGAAAAAATTTGATGTTAACAGGGCACATAACACAAACCACAACAGTAACTCAGCTAGAGATCATTCTGTGTAATAGTAGTGATGGTTTATTTGTTCTCTACATCACTACTATCAGATACCATGGTATCAAGTAATATACAAGTCATTATACTACATATCTTTTGAAGAGATGTCTCAGCCAATTATATAGTATCTATATTGTACATTGATAATATTACAACAGATTAAATATTATTGATTTACATAAATATCAATTGATAGTAATGTCGATCTTATTTACAACTGATTTATGGTTTGTGAAAATATAGATATGAAAAAGAATGTATATTGAATTTAAATCATTAATACTCATCAAATAATGTTTCAACTTGAATGAAAGTATAAAAATCTAAAAATTTCATGGATTTCAGATAAAAGATCTATATGATGATTATTATTAAATCTCTGTTATAAAAAACAATCTCTGATTATAGTCTTTCTCTTGACCTTCATAAGTGATTCACCAAGTTGGATTTAAAGAGTGCCTATAATCAAATAAGAATACCAAAGAATTCACCGTTTTCAAGTTACAAATTTCACCATGAATTCAAAAAAACAGATTTAACTTTAAAGTGCTACCACAGGGATTGTCCATCTCACCAATCATTTTTCAAATCACGTCTAACACAAATTTAAATGTATGTTACAAATCGTTTGTTTATAAACTATGAAATCATATGAACTTTTTCTCAAAACCTCGTCGCGGTTTCGTGGTGTTCGACAAATTCAATTAATCGCGTGCACTTATTATCCTAATCATGATTCATAATCAACATTCAAATAGAATTATACAATAAGCTAGAATTTATTGATTTGTAATGGGATTCAAAAAAGAGAATTAATGTACTACTTTAATATATTATCATTGTTTCATGATCCTTAATTGTGAAAAAAAAAATGTATATTAAGTTTCAATCCATTGATACTCATCAAATATAATTTCAACTTGAATGAAAGTAAAAATGTGAAACAATTTTGTATTGAATGATCTTATAATCTCAAAGTATGATATAGTTTATTAATATATTGATTATTGATCATAAGTATAATGAATCTATCTTTTTGAACCCGTTTCTTGTAGAGGACCGAAAGTAACTTGACTTCTATACTAAATTGCAGTCGTCTACTTCTCAAGTTGTTTAAAAAGCTGTTATGATGGATCTAAAGGAAATTACATCCTTTTTAAGAATATTGTATGCTTCATAGATGGAACAAAGGTTAAAACCAGACGACCTAAGGATGAATACATTAATAAATCTTTTTGTAAAAGAAAGAGTTCAAATCGTGTATATATTTTTCAACAAAAGTGAAAAATTTTAATCTTGTACAGGGCTCATAACACTGAACACTGAACCAGCTGCTATATAATATCAACAAGCTGGTAACTTATAATTTGTTCTATTAGGTATCATAGTGATGGTTGATTCAGTCTTTACATCATCAGTTTCAAGTCATCAACTTTATTTCAAAAAAGTCATACGTAAGTCATTAATCATGACACTATTATTTATTATATATGTACCTCATTTAAACTTTTATGGCTTAGATCAAACAGTTTATAGATCAATTTAAGCATTGATACATAAAGAAGCTTTAAAGTCATTCGATCAATAGATTTATTAATTAAGACAGTATTAGATCAGTTCATTTACTCTATGAAGTTTATATGATCTCGATTGAATCTACTCATCAAATCGACAATCGCAATCTATTGAAGTGTATAGCAATGTATAGAAGGATCTTTTAACTAATATGTAATAAACCAATTTGATTGGATAACACTCTATTGTAGTTTGTGGCTTACTTCATGGCTCCGTTGCTATTACACACGTTGGTTAAAGTTGTATAATGTAAGGAATATGATTCAATCTTGATATGCAGGGATTAATATAACAATTATAACCTAGAATAAGCTCAATAACATACCAAATTCTGGAATACAATTACCATTTCATCTTTATGATCCTTTCCCTAAGCTATCCATTATCCAATCACATCTCTTCATTCAATTCCCGTACTAAAACCATCTTTTGTTCGATCATTTTTAGTGAAGTTCCATCGAATTCAACATGCATTTAGCTATTAACAAGAGATCCCAGAAAGCTTAAAACACCAGGAAAACTCGTATTGAACTCCCAAAAAAGCAGATATATATAATAAAATACCACAGAACAATAATATCATACATCTACTACTTATAAACCACTTTAAAATGGATAAAATCATGTAAATTAGTAGTTCAACTCTGTCATTCTGCAATGTGTTCTAGAATTGATTTGCGAATTTTTGTTTTTTATAGCAAAAATTTAAGCGTAAACGATTTTTAAACAAAAGAACAAGCAAAAAATATGAAACGAAATGATATTATTACAAAGCAATGGTGATTTTATACGAATTTAGTGAAATCTAATGGTATTTTATATACCACAATGTTGTTCTAATCAAAAACTTATATCTTTGGTGTTGATAAATTTGTTTTATTAGATTTGAAAATTTTTGTTAATTAATACTCATTCAAACGTGATATAAACTGAAGTATTGAAGTGGATTTGTGGTGATCATTTCAAGAGGTAATCAAGATCATTGATAATACTAGAAGACTAGAACTTATATTATCGTTTTGAAAGGTTTTGTTAGATCTGGATATCAAGAAAACACAAGAGGCTGGAGAGTTGGGTATTGAATACATCATGTCAAATCAAACACAATCATTACCAGAACTAAATGAAATTAATGAATTAAATAAATTAATGATCAAAATACCAGAAAATTTATTAATTAATGGAAAATATATTCAAAATATAAAAAACTTCCAAAATTTAAATAAATTTGATTCTTTTAATCATTTATTAGAAATTATTTTCCAAAATATTGATTCTTTCCAACAATTAAAATCTTTATATCAAGCTGATCAAAGATTTGGGAAATATATTGAACAAAATATAGTTATATTAACTGATGATATTGAATTACCAACAAATCAAATGTTATTAAAAGATGGATTACTAGGGTTAAATATTGATAAATTTTCATTTAATGAAATTTCAACATCTCTGGAATCATCAAATAAATTATTTAATAATAATAGATATAAATTTTTCCTATTATATTTTATTGATATTGAAAATTTCCATAGTTTAAAATTTAAAAACTTGAGGTTATGGAATTTTTTACAAAAAAATTCATCCAAGATTGAAAATTCATGTTTTAATAATAAATTTGATATATCAAAAAGTTTTTATAATCCAATAAATCAATTATATAACATTTCAGAAGAACAACCAAAGACAACACAGTTCCAATTAAATAAATCACCAAATAGAAGTCGATCAAATTCAAGAAATCATAATAATAATTCATCAAAATCTAAGATTTGTGATTTAGGTTATAACAAGATGGAATTAAATGAAAGACAACAAAGACAACAAGAAATTTGTGTATTAGGATTTTTCATATTTGTTATTAGTTTAATGGTTTATTTGGTTTCAAGGGGATAGATACCCTGCAGGGCTATATTTGCTTGGTATATTCATTCATTTTATTGCATATTTTTATAGTTATCATATGGTTAAGTTTTTAGGTTTTTGGAGTTTATTTTATATATAAAAGATATATTATACATTATATTTATATTTGATTTGTAAATGTTCTACATTGTATTGATTGATTGAAAATATGACATATATTAAATATTGAAAAACTTTCTTATAAAACAACTATGGTTAAAGAAAAGATTTTTTCGTATCAATAATGGTTTGGTGTATATGGAATAAACATGGAGAGGGTAAAACATGTTTCTTTAAAACCATATATAAATCACAACAGATTTGGAGTCTTGAGTTTATAATTCCAAACTCAAACACATCTTCTTAATGAGTGTGAAATAGTATTTAAGAGCTAACAAAACAGTGTCAGCCAAGCTATGCTACGTCCACTTTAAAAAAAACGTAAAGTCATACAGCAAAAATTAAAACTTTTGGCCAAATAATCTTCAATGCTTATTAATGGTTAAATTATGAAATATATTTTTGAAAATTTTTATATAGCTAATTAATACCCGCGAATTTTAATTTCTATTAGAAAACAAAAAACAAAAAAAATTCAAATTTCAAACATTTTAAATGTCACAAGACAAACAAAGAACACAAGAAATAAAGCTTTATTAAATGAATGTCAAGTTCCCTGTCAAGTTAGCCATGAAGGAAAGAAGAAGCATCTCATCATCTTCTCAACAGTCTTTTACTAATTTGAGAACTCCTCATAATATTCAAAATCAATATGAATATGAAAATGCAGTTATTGATGAAGAAGAAGATCCTTTAAATGATATTGATTCACCAAATTTAATTGCAACTTCAGTGGAAAATAATTCATTATTATCTTCAAATTCTACTATTTCCTTGTTATCATTAAATAATAAACCAGTACTCTCTAGAAACACATCATTTTCTCAACCTGGATTATCATCAATAAACTCCAATTCAAATACTTCATCAATTTTTAATAATCCAATAATGTTTCAAAGAGTAAATCTACGAAGAATTTCAAATGCTCAACATGAACGAAACACTTCAATAAATTCTATCCCACCATTAAATATTGATACACTACCAGAGACTCCAAATTTAGATCCTGTTTCTATACAAAATTCTCCTTCAAATTTTTGGTTAAATAAACCAAATTTATATAGACATGGTTCTATAAATAATCAGATGAATATTGATAGTCCTTTTCTTTATCCTGTTAAGGGGCATGATGGGAATGTTACACCTTTGATATTGAGTCCAAAGAAGGAGTAATTTGATTAATCCTGAAAGGATTAATCCAAAGGTATATATAGGGGTATGATACTGGTATTGGTTTGGTTTTTGTTTGCATTTTATGATTAATGAATCGTTTATTGTGTTTATTGTGTTTTTGTTTCCTGTTTTTATCTGCATATAATAAATATTAATTCTACATTTTAATTCTATTTAAAAACATATGATCAAATATATAAATATCTAACTACTATAAAAAAACACCATAGTTACATCTAAGCAACTGTTTTTGATGGAACAACTGAATCATCAGGTTTTAAAGTTGGGAATAATAAAACTTCTCTAATAGTATTTGAATCAGTTAAAAACATAGCTAATCTATCAATACCACAACCCCAACCACCAGTTGGTGGTAAACCATATTCTAAAGCATTACAGAATGTTTCATCAACTAATTGAGCTTCATCATCACCTTGATCTTTTTGTCTAGCTTGTTCTTCAAATCTTTCTCTTTGATCAAATGGATCATTTAATTCTGTATAAGCATTACAAATTTCTTTAGTTGCAACGAAAACTTCAAAACGTTCACATAAACCTGGCATATCACGACTTGATTTAGCTAATGGTGACATCATTTGTGGATGACCATAGATAAATGTTGGATTAATACATTGATCTTCTAATTCACCAACTAACTTATCTAACATACGAGCATTTGTTAATGGTGGTGGACAATCTAATTTATGTTTAATTAAGATTGATTTTAAGAATTCACCAGTTTCTTTGGTATGTAATTGATCACCAGCTGGGAATTTAACATCAAATAATTTTTCTAATTCTTCAATCATATTAACACGTTTCCATGGTCTTGAAAAATCTAAAGTTAATTCTTTACCTTCTGGACCTTCTGGATGATATTTAATCTTGTAATCACCAGTAACAGTTTTAACCATTTCACTAAATAAAACTTCAGTCATATCCATTAAATCATAAACATCTGCATAAGCTTGATAAAATTCACATGTTGTAAATTCAGGATTATGTGTCATATCAATACCTTCATTTCTAAATTGACGACCAATTTCATAAACACGATCCATACCACCAACAACTAATTCTTTCAAGAATAATTCTGGTGCAATACGCATATACATATCCATATTTAATTCATTATGATGAGTAATGAAAGGTTTAGCAGTAGCACCCCCGGCAATAACATTCATCATTGGAGTTTCAACTTCAATAAAATCTCTATTATCTAAGAATGATCTAATATAACTAATAATCTTAGATCTTGTAATGAAACGATCTCTTGTAGAATTATTAACAATTAAATCTAAATAACGTTTTCTATATCTTGCTTCTTGATCTTTAAACCCAAAATGATCAGTTGGTAACATATGTAAACATGGAGTTAATAATTGAACTCTTTTAGCGAAAATTGATAATTCACCTTCACCACCTTTTTTAGGTTCAGTTCTACCAGGATAACCAACAACACCAATAATATCACCTCTTTTCAATAATTCATGAGATTCTTCAAAATTTTCAATTGAATCTTGAGCTTGAGCCATAATTTGAATTTGAACACCATCAGATCTTAAGACATAAAATTTTAATTTTGAACCAGATTCTCTTTTAGCATGAACTCTACCAGCAACTGAAACTTCAACATCTCTTAGGGTTTCACCTCTTTTTAAATCTTTATATAATTCTAAAATTTTTTTCAAAGGATGAGAAACTTCAAATTTATGAGGATAAGGATTTGGATTTTGAGATTTTCTTAATTCATCAATTTGTCTTGATCTAATTTCATGGAATTGATTTGGAGTTAAATCTGAATCAACTTTTTTTTTTTGAGAAACAGGTTTTGGTGGAGCTTTTGCAGCTTTTTCAGCTTTTTCAGCTTCTTTTTGACGTTGTTTTTGTCTTTTTTTCAATTCAGATTTGGAAACTTGTTCACCGGTGACTTCATCTAAGTGAAGTTTACCAACCGCTTCAGCAACTTGATCAGACATTGTTAATTAATTGGAAGTTTTGATGGTTTTTTGGTATAAATTTGATTGGAAAAGTCGATGATTTTTTGATTTTTTAATTTTTTTTTTGTCGATGACATGGCGCCCTCGAAATTCAAAGGATTTTACACGTGATTTTGGTTTCCAATTCCGACTATCATTCTTTTTTTTTTCAACACTTTTAAAAAAAATCATTAAAAAAGCATTGGAAAAGGTGGTTTTTGATATTGATAATTGTGATTATTTACCTAGGAAAAGATGTCTCAATCGTATGTGCATTAGTGGTGATTAACTAGAGGGATATAAGGATTACTAACACCGTTTTTTCCAGAAAAGAATACGTTAAACCAACAGTGGAATCAATCCAATTAGAATCAAGTGTATGTTGAATATGATATTGATATTGAAGATCTATACTAACACCACCAGGTTGCTTTGAAAATTGTTAAACACGCTGCTGAAAACTATCCTCAAACCGTTGCAGGTCCATTATTAGGTGTTGATTTACAAACTGGTTTAATTAAAATCACACAATCATATTCATTCCCATATACAAATGAAGATGGTACACCATTACGTATAAGACATAATGTTAGATTTCAAGATGATTTATTAAATCATTTTAAAGAAACCAAGAGTGCTGTTTCCAACTTGGGATGGTATCAATCTTCACAAAATGGGAATTTTATTAATGAATATGTCTTGGATAGTTTAGCCTCGATTCAATTGAAAAATAATAATTCATTTTTATTAATTCATGATTCTTCCAAGGCAAGATATGGTGTTTTAAGTTTAAGAGCTTTTAGATTAAGTGAAGCATTTATTAAAGTTTTCATTAAAAATGATTATAAAATTGAATCAATTAATGAAATTGGTTTAACATTTGATAATATCTTGGAGGAAATTCCAATTCAAATTCATAATAATCATTTAATTTCATTATATTTAGCCGGTTTAGGTTCAACACATTTCAATAAGACTGATCAATTATCAACAAGTTCAAATAAAACAAAAATTACAGAACAAAGTGTTGAAAATTTAATTGAAAATGTTGATGAATTAAGTAATTTTTATTATCAACAATATAAGAAAAAAAATCAAAATTCAAATGAATTAACTTTACAAGAATGGTTACCAATTACTGGTGGTATAAATTATACAAGTGAAGATGTTCAACAACAAGTTTTAACTCAATTTTTAACTGATTCATCAATAAGACCATAAGCCCTATATAAATAGGTTAAGATCACAGATAATAAGTTTATAGATGGCTTTAAATGTAAATTAGCATATGTATGATTTCCTTTCGTAGTTTATTCAAATATCGTATGGTTTATATATAAAAACATATATTTACAAACTTAAACTATAGAATATACACTAATTATCTGGAATTATAAAATCTTCTTCAATTTTTATTCTTTTATTTGAATCATCATTAGATTCTTCATTTTGTTCACTTGATGTTTTAGTTCTTTTCTTTAAAACTTGATCTTGTTTATCTTTATCTAAAGCTTTTTTACGTTGTTCAGCTTTAATTGAATCATAAAAATTTAACAATTCATTTAATGCAAGATTAACCCTCAATTCTTTAAAATCTTTATCTGGATTTTGACCAAAAGCATGAATAATACCATTCACAATTTCTTCAGCAATTGGTTTACAATATTTTATTTTATTTGTGATAGATTCATCATCTTTTAAAGCTTTTAAAGCTTTTTGCCTTTCCAATTTCTTTTCCTTTTCCAAGTCCTTTTCCGATAACTTTTCATTTTCATTTACTTTTTCCTTTTCTGGTTCTTTTTCCTTTTCCTTTGTCTCTATGATTTCGTTTAACTCTATAACTTCATTTTCCTTATTACTTTCCAAACTTTGACATAGATTTTTAGCATTTGATCTTGTATCAACTTTAACTCGATAAGTATTATTATCAAAAATTGAAACATAAACAACAATACATTCCCTTCTACACAGTTTACATTTTAATGATTGAAATTGTCTATGTATAATTCCTTCATTTTTCATATCATTACTGATTGGTGAAGATTTATTATGATTCTTCACCAACATTGTACTTGAAGTTGAATTTAAATGATTTTGTTCAAATGATTTAATCACTTTTAAGAATTCTTCAGCTTCTGGACCCAAGTTTTGTAACTTATTCTTACAAATCATTGTTCCTATATTACTGGTGACTTCTTCATAGTCAATATCAAATGGAGTTAAATTTAGTATCATCTTGGTGTTTGTTTTGTTTGTGTTTTGTATGTATTTTTGGTTCTTTTCATGTTCTGAGTATTAAATTTGTATTTTTGTATACGCGAAAAGTGAAAAAAAAAGAAAAAGTATTCAAAATCAAACCATTTTTTGACATTTTGAATAAACAAGAAAAGCAACAAATTTAGTAGAAATACTGATAAAAGATACAAAGATATAGATAGAAAATGGGAAGACCAAGAGTAAGTGATATTATATGTATTTGTCTGTGTTTTCCAGCTCAAAAACTAACGTTTTTTCGCTCAGTTAATCATCCTAATAAGACATGGAGAAAGTGAAGGAAATTGTGATAAATCAGTAAATAGATATGTACCAAATCATAAAGTCATATTAACAGAAAGAGGTCATAAACAAGCACAGTTAGCAGGTGAAAAATTGAATTCTATGATTACAGAGGAAGATTCAGTATTATTTTATACATCACCATATAAACGTACAAGACAAACTTTAGATGGATTAGTTAATGGTATTAAAAATCGTAATATAAGTTATAAAATTCATGAAGAACCAAGAATGAGAGAACAAGATTTTGGTAATTTCCAAAGTAGTGCCGAGGAAATGGAAATGATTTGGCAAGAAAGAGCTCATTATGGACATTTTTTCTATAGAATTCCTTATGGAGAAAGTGCAGCTGATGTTTATGATAGATGTGCAGGATTTAATGAAACTTTATTTAGACAATTTAATAGTGATAAATTTCCCTCTGTGCTTGTCCTTGTGACTCATGGGATTTGGGCAAGAGTCTTTTTAATGAAATGGTATAGATGGACTTATGAAGAATTTGAAAGTTTAAAAAACGTTGGACATTGTCAATTTTTAATTATGGAGAAGAATATGGAGACTGAACGTTATAAATTATTAACAAAATTATCTAAATGGGAAGATGATGATGCAGAAGATCAAAAAGATTATAGAAAAGAAATGAAGAATGAAGTTTTGAAAAATTCAAATAGTTATACAGATATGACTTTCCAAAATTCAGATTTAAATAAAGAAACTCAACAAGCTCAACGAGAAAAAGAGAGAAAATTAAAAGAATTGTTTATGAGACCTGCAAAATAATTGTATATTGTATAGTCTCTCATTTATTTATATTCATGGCGTTGGTTTGAATCTATGTAACAAATAAAACCCGGGACATCACCTGTCGGATCAAGAAGATCAACAAAAGTAGAAACATTGGGAATTTCTCGGTCTAACTCACCACATAGTGGTCCAATTGACATGGGAATACCACCATTGGAATCCTCTCAATTCAATTGATAATATAATATCTTTATTAATTAAAAATAAACAAAATAATCCCATAAAAACACCCCATAATTAACTTTTATGACATTACGTGGTTTTCCCCAAAGTGCTGTCCTTACCGATTTTGGCAATGAAAAAGGTGATGGTTCGACGGATTTTCCACATTTATTTATTTAAAAGGGTTGAAATCCACAAATTCTGATCGTTTCTTACTTTCCATTGTCTTTATTTGATCAATTCAATTATATACAAATAAACATACAAAATGGTGAGTATGATTGTTTATTATTCATGGAATTGACTTACTAACAGATATCCAGGCTCGTCAATTCTTCGTTGGTGGTAATTTCAAATTAAACGGTTCTAAACAATCTATCAAAGAAATTGTTGAAAGATTAAACACTGCTCAATTAGATCCAAACACTGAAGTTGTCATTGCTCCACCTTCAACTTATTTAGAATATGCTGTTTCTTTAGTTAAATCTAAACAAGTTGAAGTTTCTGCTCAAAATGCTTATACTAAAGGTTCAGGTGCTTATACTGGTGAAATTTCTGTTGAACAAGTTAAAGATGTTGGTGCTACTTGGGTTTTATTAGGTCATTCTGAAAGAAGAACTATTTTTAAAGAATCTGATGAATTCATTGCTGAAAAGACAAAATTTGCTCTTGATCAAGGTTTAAAAGTTATTTTCTGTATTGGTGAAACTTTAGAAGAAAGAAAATCTGGTATTACTGATTCAGTTAACCAAAGACAATTAAAAGCCGCTTTAAACTTGGTTAAAGATTGGACTAACGTTGTTATTGCTTATGAACCAGTTTGGGCTATTGGTACTGGTTTAGCTGCTACTCCAGAAGATGCTCAAGAAACTCATAAATCAATTAGAGATTATTTAGCAAAAGAATTAGGTCAAGAAGTTGCTGATTCTATTAGAATCTTATATGGTGGTTCTGCTAATGGTAAAAATGCACCAACTTTTAAAGATAAAGCCGATGTTGATGGGTTCTTAGTTGGTGGTGCTTCATTAAAACCAGAATTTGTTGATATTATTAACTCAAGACAATAAGTTTTGTCTTTTTAGATCTCTTATTGATATAAAAATGTCTATTGATTAGCAATGATGAATGAATAATTATTACTTTATGTTAAAATAACATTGTAGATTAAGTATTCGAGATTTTAAGCAATTTAAAGATCTGGAGTACTTTATATACGTATGAATTTCTCAACAGGGTAAATAATCGCGGGTTAATTATTAATTATTAATAACTATTCATAATTATGTATGAGTTGTATGAGTATCTAGACAACTGTGATATTAACGTTAAAACCTTTGCTCAAGATTCAAATTCAAATTGAAGATAAAATGTCTATATAAGTGAATTCATAATGATTCTTTGTCTTTGCTCAATCAATGAAACCTTTTATGTGATTCAAGATTGAAAATAACATGTAATTAAGAATTGATCATTTTGTGTTATTCTTCATGATACATATGTAATGATCAGTCATCTCATTTTATTTACTCTTGGATATACTTGTCCTTATAGATTAATACTTGACAATCTGTAATTAATTCAATAACTGATCATGTACTTGAATAAATTGACGGGTAGTTATGTTTATATTCCGAAATATTTCATAACAACCTACTGATGAAAGTAAATTATATTTTTTAAAGTATAAGCAGTACTAGTTCAGAAGATTTATGAATACATCAAATATATATAAGATCTATGATTAGACCAATATAATAAAAATTGAATATTCTTGACAGAATTGGTACTCCATCAGGATCCTTTCTTAATTGTCTAAGCCTAGCAACTGGAATCCTCTAAATATTCTAAATTGCAAAGCCTTAACAGGTAAACTCAATTTTTTGTGATAATATCATAATGAGTTAATGAACAACACTTAGATCCATATTAAAACCAAATATTTAAGATCCATTGTATAATAGTTTATATACCCTTCAATTATAGTAAATTCAAGGTTTTTATGCTTTTAAGTTGTGCATAACTTCTGCATAGACAGCGTATCTGCACATAACTGCTCGAATATTTACATATTATTGCCTAAGAGTACCATATATGTGCATATAACCGCGTTTTTCTTTAATTAAATTTAAAAATTATAGGCTGAAACTATAACCATCAATATTATAGTATATTTTGTTATTTAAATAAACAAATTATACTCTAAAATGGTATATGAGACTGTAGTATTACGCTCCATTTGTTTTTGTGCTCGAATTCAAGCTTTGAAATTTTTGATATTTTCAAAATGCTCAATTTTAAATTTAAATAAAGAATTTCAAGGTTACCTTTATTTCCTAAATTGAAAAACTTGAATTTTTAAACCTCTTCAAATCATTCAAAATTACCATTGATAGATAGAGGACAATTAATAGGTAATTATTAATTTTTTTGGAATACTATTTCACTTCTTTGATGTTGTTTTAGAGGCATTTTTAATATTATTGATTATGTAATCACATATAGACTACAAGTTTTACAGACTCATAAATAATAAAAATATCAACTCCAAGGATAATAGTATACTATTAATGAGTATATTAATGTATCAGCTAAAGTGTTATAATGCCAAAGTATATACTTAGCTTGTGGAGTATGTGGTATCAGGTATCAGTCGTGGGCAAATAAATATATAAGCATTATAATATGAAAGTTAATGGCAAAAAACACTATAAGAATATCAGAGATCAAAAGGTTGATAGTAAACTATTATGGGTATTCATATTTGTTGGAGGCTATTGGAACAACAAACTATATGAAACATGTTTAGCTCTATCATTATCCCTTGAATGTCCAATATATGCAAATAAAACCAACACCGAATTCCGATTAACAATATTAACATTCGAAGAGAATAAATTTAAATTTCAGCTTGAATCTTTTGATGAATGAATTCAAAACTCCTGAGAATGATGTATTATAAGCCTGAAATTTGAGTCTTTATAACAAATATTAAGAGTTTGATGTACATTAATTTTGTAATAAGAGTTAGCCAAACGACTCTATTTGAAGAATCTCAAAGAAAAGTTGAAAGCCAAGAAAACGTTACCTTTTGGAAAGCATATCATAGTACATCAAATTGGTTGATTGAGGGCCATTATGTTGTCTCTTTATACATAAAAACGCATTATAATTCATATTGGAAACTTAATGATAATGCAAAATTCTTAAAATATAACAATTCGATCAATTGAATTGAAACCACGTTTTAAACTAAACCATGATACCCTATTGATTTATCCAATATTCGCACGAGTCTCTGTACTAAAATCGTATTTGTATTTGTAATGTTCTACAAAATATGATCTCCACAATAATCAACAGTTTTATATACCGGGAAAATAAAAATCCAAATTAGGTACTGAGTACCGAAGTTATAATCGCGGCCGTTGAAATATAATTAATAATCATGTATATATACAAACATTGAAACAAAAAAAATTAAAGTGTATTATTAATGTCTTTTCAAAAATTCCAGTTGAAATAACCACTAATGATCAGATATATATATTAGTTGCTTCCGATATTTATTTGTTTTGGAGAATGATTTCAAGATGTTCTAATTGTGTTAATCGATCCATATCGAATGTATATGAAACAAGAAATCTGGAAGTGTATAGTGTATAAATTTAAAGAGATTAAGTTTCGATAATGAGTGAATCAATGGTTTCGTACCTGCCTGATGAGGCTGATATTCAATCAATTTCTAGGCATTCTATTAGTCAGAATGTGTCAATAGATGACGAAAAGAAGTATGAAGTTGTTTTTGATGGTAAAGATGATCAAGAGAATATTAATGAATCAATGTCATTAACTAGAAAATGGTTTATTAGTTTTATTCTTTCATGTACTTCAATTTGTGTTACTATGCTTTCATCATGTTGGTCAATGGCATCAGAACATATAATTAATCATTTTGGTATTAGTCGTGAAGTTAGTATATTGGGTATTAGTTTATACATTTTTGGTGTTGGGTTTGGTCCATTGTTTTTAAGTCCAATTTCTGAATTTTATGGTAGGAAATTAACATATATATTTGGACTTTCATTATGTTGTGTTTTCCAAATCTTAACTGCATTTTCTCCAAATTTTGGTGGATTATTATTTGGTAGATTTTGTAGTGGTTTTTTTGGTTCTGCATTTTTATCAGTTGCTGGTGGTACTTTTACAGATCAATTTAATAAGGAAGAAATTGGTGCACCATTAACTCTTTTTTCAATATCTCCATTTTTAGGTCCATCATTAGGTCCTTTAATTAGTGCAGTAATTAATGAGAATTTATATTGGAGATGGACTTTTTACATAATGTTGATTTATAGTACAGTTATGCTTTTATTAATCTTGGTTTTCGTTCCTGAAACTTATGTTCCAGTTTTATTAATTAAGAAAGCTAAAAGAAAAAGAGCTGAAACTGGTGATGATAATTATTATGCTCCATTAGAAATCATGCAAAGGGAACAATCTGTTTTCTCAGCGGTATTATTTTCTGCAAAGAGACCATTCATGTTATTAATTCAAGATAGAATGATGGCAGTTTTATGTTTTTATTCAGGTCTTCTTTTAGCTATTCTTTATTTATTTTTCGTTGCTTTCCCATATATTTTTGATAAAGTTTTCCAATTCTCCAAGATTGGTCAAGGTTTATCATTTTTAGGTATGATGGTTGGTATGATTATTGGTGGTGCAACTGCACCAAAATTTCAATCAATTTATAATTCAAGTGGTAAACCAAGGTCAGAATTAAGATTATATCCTTTAATGGTTGGATCTATATTTTCACCTATTGGACTTTTCATATTTGCATGGACTTGTTTCTCCAAATTACATTGGATAGGTTCAATGGTTGGAACTGCAATCTTTGGTATTGGTATAAGTTTAATTTTCCAAGGTATTTTTGGATATACAGCTGATGCTTATAGATTATATTCAGCAAGTGCTATGGCTTGTAATAGTTTAGTTAGAAGTGTTATGTCTGGTGTATTCCCATTATTTGGATTACAAATGTATGAAGCTTGTGGTGTCAATTGGGGTGGATCAATTTTAGCATTTGCAACATTAGCTATGATTCCTTTCCCATTTTTATTTTATAAATATGGTGAAACATTAAGAAATAAAAGTCCATATGCTTGGAGTATGGATTAGTTTTTTCACTCATTGGAACAATCTTGAATATATAACTTATTTTTATCAAAGACTTTATGTAGCAATACACTAAATATATTACTCTCAAAATCTACACCCATTTCAATTCCCAAATTCTAATTAGCCTTTATATTTCAATGCAAATTAATATGCTTCTAATATACAAAAGATTAATAAATAATATACAAACAAGCAAAAACACCAACAACAATTCATCTTTTAATCTCACCATTTCTTTTCTTCTCTATAGCTTTTTTATAAGGTGGAGCAGTTGGACTTTGTACAGGATCTAAAGAAATTCTATCAACATTAGATTCTATAGTATAAGTTGCATCTGAATCATAACTTGATAAATCACCACAAGCAATGAAAGGAGCAACATTTCTTTTTTCTTCTTCATAAGTTAAATCATCTTTTAATTCATATCTACCAATATTTGCACCTTTGAAAAAATCTTCAGTTGAAACATTTGGATCCAAAGTTGGTTTCCAATGAGAACTTGGTTTATAACCTAAGCATACTATAAAAGCTTCTAATGAAGTACCTCTTGAAGATCTTGGTTTTGCACAAATAACTTTTTCAAAAAGATAACCTAATTGTGAATACATTAAATCAATATCTCTACCTCTGAATATCTTTGCAACAAATGTACCACCAGGTCTTAATAAACATGTAGTTAATTGTAATGCAGCAAGAATTAATTGAGCTTGAATATATTCATCTAAATCATGTAAACCTGTAACATCTGGTGCACCATCACTACAAACAAAATCTGCAGGTTCACCACCAAAGATTTCTAAAATTTTACTTAAAGTTTTTGGATGTGTAATATCAGCTTGTAATGTTGTAACACCATCAATTGGTGCCATTGGTTGTAAATCCACTGCAACGATTTTTGGTGGGATCTCGTCATTTGCGGTATATTGATTTTTTTCAAATAATTCTCTTGAAAGCACTTGGGACCATGAACCTGGAGCTGCACATAAATCAACAACTCTTCTAACACCTTTAAACAATTGGAATTGATCATTTAATTGTAATAGTTTGAAAGCAGATCTAGCTCTCCAACCTTCTTCTTTGGCTTTTCTGTAGTACAAATCTCTCTTATCCTTACTACTTTTACCCATCTTGCCACACCTTTTCCTCTTCTATCCTTTGTTTCTATCTCTGTTTCTATCTAAATTCTGACATTTCCTTCCAAATTAATTTAATTTTTTTTTTGAAACTTTATGATGAGTCGCTGAAAAGAGTAAGTTCCGACCAAAATCAAAATCGGAATTTTTAATGTTGTTGAAAAAAATCAATTTTAAATACTTGAAAAGTTGAAATCAATAAAGAAATAAAGAAATAAAGGGTTCACAGAGGTCAAGATGTTGAGACAAAGTATACGTTCATTTAGTACGAGTAGTCGTTTGGCAGCACCAGGGAACGCTATCACAGGGAAAGGTCCATTAACTAAACCAACCAAAATTCCATATAATCCTCAAGTTTTCACTAAAGAAAGAGAAGCTCCATCATATGGTAGACCATTTCCAATTAATGTTGAATTAAATTATTATGCACCAATTAGACATGAACAAACACATGGTAATCTTGTGGCTACTATTGAATTACGTTCTTATGATTATTTAGATGTTGAATTTTATGGTGATTTTATTTCAAGAGCTGCATATTATTTAAAAATTCCAATTAGTGGTGTAACACCAAAACCTAAAAAAAGAGAAAGATGGACTGTGATTAAAGCTCCTTTCGTTCATGCTAAGACAAAAGAAAATTATGAAAGAATAACACATGGTAGAATTATTAAATGTTATGATTCAAATCCAGAAGTTATTGATTTATTAGTTTCATTTTTTAGAAAACATTCAATGCCAGGTCTTGGTATTAAAGTTCAAAGTTATCAACAAGAATCTTTAGAATTTTTGGAAGAATTAGATAAAACACCAGGTCAAGAAACTATTGATGATGCTATTCGTTATGAAGCTACACAAACTGAAGATGCAGAAGTTAGAAAGAAGGTTGAAGAATTATTAAAAGATCCAGTTTTCAAACAACATTTAACAAATAATAAAGATCAAATAACAGATAAATCACAACCAAAAATTGAGAAATAGATTTAAATAGTTTTGTAAATTAAAATGAATGCATGTATATATATAGTTATGAAAAATGGTCTAGTAGTTGTCTATCCATACATATCCCAATCCTCTTCAATTTCTTCTTCATCTTCAGGTAAATCATCAAATTTCTTCTTTTGTAATAAGTCTTTACGACACAAGGGACAAGTTGAATGAACTTTTAACCATGGAGAAATACATTCTAAATCAAATTTATGATTCCCTTGACAAGGTAATTTAACAACTAAAGGATGAGGATCATCCAAAAAATCATTTGTACATATGGAACAAGTTTGATCAGATTTTAATTGTTTTTTAGAGACTCTATCTAAAGAATCTATGAATTCATCAGATACACCTTGAATATCCTTTTCGGAGTTTAATTGTTGTAATAATTCATCACCAAATGAACCATTATTTAATGAACGTAATGCAGTTGTAAGTAGTTCAATTTGTGATTGTTGTGATTGATGTGATGTGGTATCTGTGGTGGAACCTGAAAGAAATTGTTCCAAGTGACTAGTTAATGTTTCATGAGTTCTTGATTCTTGTGTATTGTTATTATTTTGTGTGGTATTTGTTGTATTGTGTTCCTCTTTGAGATTTATTAGTAAAGTGAACAAGCCTAGATAAACTAAATCATTCTACTCACCTTCATATGTTGACATTCTGCTCTCTCTTTTCTAGTTAAACTTCTTGCTTGATTTAGTTCAAGAGTTGGTATAGATCTATGTATCATTTGCCTTCAGTTTTTGAAAAAAGTTGGTGATGTAGTGGGTGTACCGAGATTAATACTACTACTACAAACTATTAAAATTATTCATAACATTCATTAAATTTCTATATAGAGTTCTCAATTAGTTGATTATAATTCAAAATCTTTTGATAATGCTTTATAAGATTTTGATGTTTCAATTTTTTGTTTCTTCTTATTATTAATTTTATTACTATCTTTATTACCATTCTCAATTTGTAAAGATAAACTAGATTTATTATCACCATTTGTTGACAACTTCTTTATAAATTTTGATATAATTGAACCAATTTTTAATTTTTCTAAATTTGAATTACCTAAAGAACGTTCTTTACCCCAAGTAATTCTTAATGGAATATTTTCAATAACCAAAAGACCAGGTTTTCCAGGTTGTGGTGATTGAATTTGTGACATTGCCTTTTCAGCATCAGATCTTGTTTGAAATGTCAAGAAACCAGCTTTTGATTTATGTTGACAATTAAAATTTTTAATCTTGAGGTTTAAATTTTCGAAAAAATCTGTAATTTTATATTCTGGTAATGAATCATCAATACCAAATATGAATATTGTAGTTATTGATGTATCATTTGGTGGTGTTGTAGATCCATTTAATGGTAATTTAGATATTATCTTGGTAACATCAATTTTATTTATATGTGAAGGTAAAGATTCATTTTTGATTGATTTTGGTGCAATCTTATTCTTGGAAGCCATACTTAATTTTGTTAATATCTCTCTAGCTTTATCAGAATCTGAAGTAATGGAAGCCCCACCAATCTTGGGGAATTGTTCAAGATTATTTGCAACATATAATTTACTAATTTCATTTTGAGGTTCTTGATTTGATATATTTTCCACACCAGCCATTTTAAGGGCAGCATCTCTTAATTGGATTGGAATACCATATGTAAGATCCATTAAGCAACTTTGACAACAATTTCTTTGTTTAGAACAAGTTGTACAAATTATTGTTTTCTTGACAGAACCATTTTTAATTGGGAACCATTTATAAACATCAAAAGGTCTTGTACATAGTTTACATTCAAGTCCATTTTTCTCTCTTGTCATTCTTAAATATGGATTTGGACCTAGACATGTTTCACAAACAGCAGGAGCATCTTCAGACATGGTGAGTTGTGTGTTTTGACTTTGGTGTTTATTGAGAAGTAATTTATAATAGTAATTTGAAAGGTTTTAATTTTTATATCTATTCGCGAATTCTTTTAAATTTTTTTTTAATATTTCAATTTTCAAAAATTTGTAATTAACTTCTGTTAACTTTTGTTTAATGGGGTGGTAATTTTCAACTCTAGATCTTTGATTATGTACAAGTAATAGAACACTAAGTCGTTTACTACATCTGGTGAATATCTAATAATGTTCCCAAAGAAGACCACAGTTTATCATAGTTAATAATCATCAAGAAACAATACTCATTTTCACCAAGGAGTTATTGGTTTTAGATTAGAAAACTATACAACCAGGATCTACAAATGAACATTCAATGATCAAGATTCGGTCGTTTTTCAAAACGATTATCTTGTCTTGTGTTTATACGTGATTCTTTAATATATTTTTGAACAACTATATGAACAATTGTAGTACTACGTGTAAAGCGATATGAAGCTACTGAATCTTTTACAATGAATCTCTTGAAACTTCATACGATATATATACATATATTAAGCTAATTATGGTTATATAGATTATGATCCATAGCTCTCAAAATATCAAAATAATTAATGCTAACGCAAATTATGATTTAAAAAGGTTATTACATATTCAAGGAATTCGCGAATTATTTTGAAGTTGTACTCGACACTAGTGAAAAAAAATTAAAATTTTCATCAACAGGGCTGTCTAATTTGAATATTAAGAAAACAAGGGATCATGAACCTCGAAATTGATCAAACCTAAAATGCACTTGATTTGTGATTTGTTTTTTGGCACGAGTGATTGATAAATTGTATTCTTTGCTTATTTCACCTAGTATCCAGTGGTGGTTATCCACGATTTTATTGATATTCTCATATTACATCGAATTTAATTGGCTTGCTTTTGCACAATCTATTATAGTTCTGATCACTAATAAACAAAACTCTCATCACAAGAGCTAGCTTAGTTTTGGATTAGAAAACTATACCATCAAAATCTACAAAAATTGAACATTTAATGATCAAGATTCGATTGTTTTTGAATATGATGAAACGATTATCTTGTCTTATGTTTGATATTTGTGATTAATTAAATATTTTTGAACCCTATATTATGAACTTGTAGCAGTAACGTAACAATCGATATAAAGTACTAGATTATATATGATATTGATTCTACATAAACTACATGAATAATCTCATGAAACTTTATAATATACTTCATAGATCGACATCTTAAACCTCATAGATAAATGAGATCAAGCCAATAGTGTATATGTCATTTCATAGCTCATGGTATGCCTTTAAATACATGTCTTTCGAAATAAATTGCTGTCCCTGATTATTCTTTTGTACTTATTGTATGATTGTATGACAGCTTTCAGCTAATTTGCTATTAAATATCACGTTCGCGAAGTTTTATCCCAAGTTTTTCTTTGAATTAATTTGATCAACAACTTGACTTCTCAACGTCAAAGGGGTAATCTATACAGCATTAAACTGCTAAGCTGTTGATATGTGGTTTTCTAAAAAAGTTTATATGACCCAATAGGTTCGTACTAATGAGTCTGTAGATTCTGGTTGAATAGACTGTTAATCATTTTTGGTTCCGGAATGACTAAATATGTGATCAAATTTGGATTATAGAATTATACTGTATATTACAAATACCATACAGGATCATAAGTTGAACATTTAATGATCAGGATTCGATTGTTTTCAAAACGATTATCTTGTCTTGTGTTTTAATACATGTGATTGTCCTATTTTCAACCTATACTATGAACTTGTAGTTATGTAAAGCGATATAATGTACTTCAATCTTCTACATGATAATTCTCATAAAACTTCATAAAATTCATATATAAATAGTTAGCTAATGGTATAGATCATTGTATAGCTTTCTCAAAATAATTTGCTGAAGCAAACTACTTTATTGTCAAAATAATCTGCTATCGCTAACGCTCAGCAAATTATCTCTATGTTGCTAACGCAAATCTATGTTGGATACATTCTAATCAATTCATCCAATTCAAAAACTTCAGTACTCATAGGATCCTTAACCTCCATCTCACTCAAAATAGTCAAATTTTTAGAATAATTCAATAATTTCTCCCGATCATAAATATTCCCATTTGGTAACATTACAGGATTTTCAAATAAATAAGATTTAACATTATGAGAATAAGGTAATTGATAACTTAATTGATTAAACTCTAGGGAACACACGGGACAATTATTTGTTGTTGTTGTTGGATGAGATTGGGATAATTTTTTGTTTAGGATTGATTCAAATGATTGGGGTTGGGTTGAAGGAGATGGACATTTACATGATCTTGTTTTTAATGATGATATACCTAATGATAAATAAATTAATAATGGATCATCTTTTGATATACCATGTAATTTATAATAAATTTCTAGGAATAAATTTGATAAATATTCATAACGTTTAGGAGATAATAATGAATTATACTTTTGGAAATTTGGATCTTGAGTTTTTGATGCTTTTGATGCAAAGATTAATAATCCTGATGCTGATTTAATTTCATTAAAATTTGTTTGAGTGAAAAATGAAAGATGATTTTGGAATAATTTGATAGCATTAATCAAATCCCCCTGTTTAATTAATTCAATATATTGTTGAAATCTTGTTTGGAACTCAAGATTTGATTTAATTTTTCTTAAATAAGATTTATTATCATCAATCCAATTAACAAGATTTGATAAATCTTGATTCAAGATAGAAGTTGATATTTTATTTGATACCAAGATAATATCAAAATCAATTAATTTTTCAAAATTTAGGTTTTTGATTAATTTTAAACCTGGATTTGATTCAATTAAATGTGAATTTTTTAATAAATAATCTGCAATTAATAAATTTGTTTGATCTCTATACCAATTTAATAATTTATCTTGGGTAATGGGGGATGGTGATTCTTGAGATTGATTTTTCAAATCATTTAATTCATTTAGCTTATTTAATCTTGCTTGGATCCTAGAAATTAATTCATTTTCAATCTTGGTTTTTGATTGAATTTTTTTTTCAAATTGTTTCAAGTTTGTAATGATTTGCTTTAGCTTTGTTAATTTCAACTTCTTATCATTTGTTTGATTAAAATCTTTAAATAATTCATCAATTTTCTTAAATTGACGTTCATCTAATTTTTGAACATTTTTGAAATTTTTCCTAATTGCTTCATATGGGACTTTAAAAGAACCTTCTTGTAATTTCAAATGGAAATCAACACTAGGTTCATTAAGTGACATTGGTGATATAGTCTGGATTATCCTGTTGTTGATCTAGTTGTCGTCTTCTTGCTGTTGTATAAGGTATATTCTCAAATTTGCCCCATAGAATTTGAAATATGATATACAAATTCGCGAAAGACATACTACCATCAAGACATACATACAAAAATATTAAGCAAAAGATACTAAACAAAGATAACAGGAATAAGAAGTTAAATATTCATTACAAGATACTCTACAATCAATCAACCAGCAATCACTATTATATATTACTATATTATATATACTATTCTACTTGTTAGTGTTATTCACGATGACAATTACCACACACTATATCCAATTATAATCAGGGTTAAAAAGCTATGATTTGGTTCCACATGGTCCTGTTCGGATGAAGAAATTCAAGTTGTTGTTGTCAAGGTTTTCATCAGATGAATTGGGGTGTGTGTTGGTTAAGAGAGAGACATACTTTAATAGTTGTGATTGTTCTAGTTGTTGATACTCTGATAGTTGTTCTGATAGTTTTGTTTTGTTAAAAGTTTGAAATGAAAATTTTTTTTTATTTAAATATTGAAAAATGAAAAATGGATTATGTAATGATTAATACAGCACTTACGTAATCCATTTTTATTAGGGCTTTAAAATCAAATTTGTTTTTTTTTGATAAAGAAAAGTAATTGAAAACCATTGATTTTATTGACGATTCTATTTAAACCAGTTCATCAATAGGATCACCACCATCACCATCAACGCAGCGCTATCCATTTGCTACACTTAATACTACTAAACAACCATCAACAATCATCATCATCGATTTAATTTGTGAACCGCCTTGCTTAATATCATATTATTGCTTATTACTATTGCTTTGAGTGAATATTGATACTGGTATTACTTCCACAATGGCTGATAG